AAAACATATATTTAATACTTGCGCCGGGTATTTAATGTTCGGCTCCGCCCGAACTTAGACTTTCTTACTTGTTTTTTTTTAATTTTTAATAGCGCAGATTAAAATCTCAAAATATTTTAATACACTTACATAAGCGTCGCCTTGGAAGATATTAAAATAGAATATTTATGTATACAAATTTGTGCTTTCGACAATCCAGCCAGATTTAAAAAGTAATTTTCGCATCTTCCCTTTTTACTCAGTATATGTATATGTATGTATGTAAGTAAGTATTTTCGACTAACAAACTTTTATATTTTCTTTTATTTACACTCCTTTAACGCCTTTCAAATGCCTACATATACACCATTGAATTTCACGGAAACAATTATTAACAAAAATGTCCTCAACAACAATCTGCCACCCAAGTAGAATGGCAAACGTGAGCTATTTGGCATGGGAGCATGGCTGCGCAAGCGTTATGCAGACTTTACGGCGCCATACTATCACCCAGACGTAGGTAAAAGTCAGGCCAGTGTTTGGATATCGGAATTGGGCTGCCGCAGTATGGCACTTGACTCGTTGGTAGTAAGAATTGCAAAATCGAAATGAAATGCTTCCATGCCATTTGATGTACGTACACCAATTCCGGACAAGCACTGGACGGCAATGAATTTTGTTATATGTACTTGCGTTTTATTTGAATTTTTCTAGCACGGCGATAAACAAGCAATCCTTTTATAATCACATTTTTTTTTCTTTCTTATTTTCGCATTTTAGGCAGTTTATGCACAGGCAACGGGCGTTGCACGCACTCATATGACTCTGCAGACGGTGTTGGCGAGCTTTTTCCCACCGAACGATACTCCCTTGGAATGGAATCCAAAATTTAATTGGCAACCCGTGCCGATATTTTCACAACCACTCAATGAGGATACAGTAAGTCAATTGCCTATCATTTATTTTGGGGAGCTTGTATTTATTCAAACTATGGTACAACCTGCAATTTATTTGTAAATACATATATACCAAAGCATATTGAATGGGTAGCAGCAGCAAAATTGGTTGGTTGGTTAGTTTAAGTGATTTACCATCCTGGTGACAAGCAATTGGCCATTTCGAATTCACAACTCATGCAACCTACAGCCATTTGGCGGCTTTAATTAATTTCAGTACGTCTTTCGGAGAGAGACGGCTGCACTCTGACAAATTCTGCAGAAATGGCTCAGCCTCATGCTTGCGAGGGCTGGTCACTCGCACAGAGAGTGTTCATCTGCCTTCTTTGAGCCCGGGTCCTCGCAGAAGACGACAGAACCGATTGAAGGGTAGGCCAATCCTTTCGGCATGTACCCCAACCGCTCAGTGCCCTGTGCAGACTGCCGTAAGTTTGTAGGTATTTTCTTTGCTCCTTCCTAACAGAGCCCTGATTTTAAGTGGATCATAGGACCCCCAGAACTGCCTATATGATCCAGCACGGTTCCACCTCTGTCTAGAATTGGAACAATTCTGCCTTGATCGCCCTGAGCGAGACCTCATGTCCACCGCGCGAGGCATATTCAGTGCGGAGCCGCTCCTCGCTAGTGCGTCCGCTTTTTTCCCGAAACAGTTCCTATGACCCAGGACCCATATTAGGGCAATTTCCCATTATCTCTCTCTACAGTCAGCCACTACTTGAGATCTAACCAAGGTAGAGGAGAGTGCCTGAATAGCCGCTTGGTTATCTGAGAACCTTTCCTTCCAGAGCCCAAAGAACGCAGTCTGATGGCGCATTTAACTGCTGAGTCCTTCGGACAGGATCTCATTGCACCCGTTGCGCCAGCGGCGTACTCTGGGCCAAGAGACCCTTATTACTGTAATCACATAGCTTTAGTAAAGGCCTTAGAAAAAAGCCATTTTGATTAATAGCATAATTTTACCGATGTCCCGAAAGGGCGGGAACGTAATATTCCCTGCGGTAAAGTCTTGCGGTTAACTAATTCTTCAAAAATACTTGTACTACATCTTTTCTAATAGTTATGTAATACTAGCTTTTGTACTTATAGTTATAATTTTGATCTTTCGTTCTATAGCTTCTGTTGGTGCGAACGTCTTGTCCACGGTATTTCGAGGCTGTAGATGAAGTTCTAAAACTGCCTAATGTGCGAGCAGAAATCGAACCATATCGCGGCATGCTAAATGAGTTAACAGCATTTACCGGCATGAATATAACAGAGCCAGAAGATGTACAATCGCTTTACTTAACACTTTTAGCAGAGGTGAGTAAAATATGTAATAAAACAAAATAAAGTAAAATACAATAAAATAAAACCAAAAATGGAAAAAAATAAAATAAACTAAAAAATTTTTTAAAGTTAAATTTAATTAAATAAAATAAAAAAAAAAACTAAAATCAAATTAAATGCAAAATACAATAAAAAATAGAATTACATAAAATTTAATGAATAAATCAAATTCAATTCAATTCAATTAAATGCAATTAAATTAAATTAAACTAAATGAAGTGACACAGAACAGAAAAAA